TCTCTCTCTTATTTATTTATTTATTTATTTATATCTGTTTAAATTGCAGAGTTAGAAAGGAGGAGAGAAAGAATCTTCCAAGTGTTAGTTCATTCCCCAGTTGGCTGCAATGATGAGGAGCCGGAGCTTCTGCTGGGTCTCCCATGTGGGTGAGGGCCCAAGCCCTTGGATCATTTTCTGTTGCTTTCCCAGGCACATTACCTAGGAGTTGGATCAGAAATGGAGCAGCCAGGACTTGGACTCAGTGCCCATTTGGGATGCTGGCATTACAAGCAGAGGCTTAATGTGTTATGCACAATGCCAGCCCTTTTGCAAAGCTGGTTTTTTTTTTTTTCTGGTAAAAGGTTTGTTGTTTTTGTTTTTGTTTGTATGTTTCTTGAAAGTGAGAGTTATAGAGGGGGAAAGACAGAGAGAGGGAGAGAGAGATTGAATTCCACTGGTTCACTATCCAAATGGCTTTGAAGCCTAGAGCTGGGCTGGGCTGAAGCTGGGATCCAGGAGTTTCTTCCAAGTTTTCCATGTGGGTGCTGGGACCCAAAGCAGTGGGCCATCCTCTCGAGCTTTCCCAGGTCATTAGCATGGAACCAGACTGGAAGTGGAGCAGCTGGGACTAGAACTTGTGCCTACATGCATTGCCAGTGCCACAGATAGAGGAATAATCTGCTACATGACCATTGGAATGTTTCTTTAAGTATGTTTTGTCCCCCAAATGTCACATCTAAGGCAGAGAAGCCGCAAACCAGTGTATGTGGAAAACCTGGCTAAAGATAGACCATGTCGATATTAACAGCCTTTCAAACTAGATAATCCAAATCTCAGCCAGGCAGCTCTGCTATGGGAAGAAGTCTCTGAGCTGTGAATTAGTTGTGACCCATAAAGGTGCAGGTTATGAACAGTCTGCCTCTCCCCTCAGCCACCAGCCAGCCAGTCTCCTCTAGGGCTAAAGCGGGCAGGACAGTGAGTTAGGGCCAAGTGGAAGTGGCAATTCCAGGACAGAGGTGTGCGGAGTCTGCATCCCAAGTCTGTCGCAGTCTCCTTCTGTGTCATCGTGGGGAAGCGGCTCAGCTTCTCTGCCACTGAGCTTTCTCATCATTGAAACGAGGATAAATAGGAGTTATCAAGAGTGCAGTGTTTCGGTGCTGGGTGTGTAGCTCTCCTTTCTGGTTTATTTCTACGGAAGGGATTTCTCCATTACATTCAGTGCATGACTTCTTTATCCTGATGATGGCATATAGCATGGCCACGGCGCAGAAGACTGCATGCAGAGAAATACTTGCTGTCCAAAGACTGACTGTCCAGTGTGCAGTGCAGAGATGCGGGGAGTTTGTGGCTGGGTCTATGTTCAAGTGCACAGACCCTGTGTAAGAGACCATATGTTAGCTTTGACCAGCTAGTCCGGCAGGATTGAATGGAGATGTGGAGGTCCTGGCTTACTTTTTCATTAATGGCATCTCAACTGGATATATTGAAATTTTGAAACTTAACCAGTAATATGCTAGGATTTTATTCAGAGGCAATTTTTCTGGATTAAAAGAATAGGTTTCCTCTACAAAGTAGACTACACTGTAAGGGGGTGCCTCTGGTTAATGAGGTGTGTGTGGGGGGGGTGTGCCGTCAGCATCTCAGTGGAAGGGGTTCTAGGAAGGCTGGGTGAAAGGCATTGAACTTCAGCCAATAGAAAATGGACATGAATTACTGACTCAAGAGACTTGATAGCCACTTCTTCAGATAATGAAAAGTCCATGAGGAAGATGTACTGAAAGATTGTGATTTTTATGGGAAACTAGTTTTGGTGGTTGTGTTTTTTTTTTTATTCTCTTACTGCTTGTTATTCTGGGATATTACGCAGGTATTAATTCCATGTCCACAAAACAGAAACCTTCAGAAATACCATCTCTGATTTTCCAGTGTGAGTTCTCTGCCTGCATCCACATGTGCACGTCCCTGTACTTGCCTCTTGTGTCCAGTCCTCCACTGCTGCACACTATTCAGTCCAATCAGTTTTAAACAAGTGTAAACGCTCTCTTTAAAAACGGTCCATGGCATGTTGTGCTGTGCTTGCTTCCCTAGCCGTGGCCTTTGGTATCCCCTTTTCATAATTGATGTTATTTTATATCCTTCTGTGGTAACTCAGCTAGTGGAGCAGTAAATCCAAATGACCACTAGGTAGGATTTTAGGTGAATGATTCACTTAGCACTTACACCACTGACACAGGAAAGAAGCAATCATTAGTGTAAAGAAACTTGGCCTTGATTAGCACTTGCTTCATAGGCAGTGGATGGTGTTGTATCCATGAAAGAGGGATGAGTGAAGAATGCATGAAAAGGGTTGTGGCTCTATAAGCATTCTGATCATGTCCCTTCCCAACCTCCTCTTCCCACCCCTATGGGGAACTAAAATGCTGATTTTACACCCACAGACCTCTTCTGAGTCACTTTGTAGTCAGGATTAGCAATTCTAAATGAGTTACCCATTTGGATAAGATTTCATGGTATATCAAGAAATTACTTTTCAGCACCACCAGGAGTAATCTGTTTACTGGGAGTGCTCTGTGGAGCACACAGGGAGACGAGGAGCTCTTCTAAGACAGCACCCCCTTGCCTCCTGAGGCACCATGAGATGCTCTCCTCATGATGAGGGGAGTGCACTGGTTGTTGTGGTTCCCCTTCAGAGCTTCCTCACAGCACTCATCGCATCCTGGCCTTCAGCATTTCACATTTTCCAAACTTGGAAAATCTTTCCAACGGTGGCTATTACACGTTCTAGTGAAATTTAATGAGTTGCCTTTTTATCCAGGTTTAGTCCTTCTCCAAAAACTATGTTAGAAGTGTTCTGCTCATTAGTTTGTAAGATCTGATGGGATGTTGGGCAGAACAAGTCAAGTCCCCAAATGATGAAAAGCAAAAAGGATATAGTACTTTTTATGCTGAATTTCTTCCCTCTTCTCTCCATAGCCTAAGAAATATACATTGGCAGTTGTGATTTCTGTGCTAGGAAGGGTATGAGAACTAGGCTGCTGGGTTGATGGCCTGAAGACTGAGGGGGGCCATGGTATAAAGACCATGACCATGATATTCTCCATGTGATTTCTCATTTTCTAGCACTGCAGAGAGGATGGCATGTCAGGGCCACGGGGGAAGTGCAGAGGCGAGCATGGCATGGTAAGGAGACAGATGCATGGATGAAGAGATGAATAATATATTTCTTTAGAAAAATAACACAAATGTACATCACTCTTTTAACATACTCTATTAATTTATATGTAATACATAATATATAGCATTAAGCATTTCACATCATTTTGGCACTATGTGCATTCTATTAAAAGCTCTTGTTTTCTTCAGCCCCTATCAGCACAATAACATCTAAAATATATTAGCAATATATTATCACATTTGTACTAGAGCTGCCTGAAATACTGTTTTTCATGTTTGTAAACAAAAATAGTAACATTACTATGTAACACTGTGATTGGAAAAATACCTTCTCTCCACTTCCTCCCTCACAGTCGGTAAAGGAGGCTTAAACTACTTTAGTATCCAAAATACATTTTCACTGGAGAAATATAATTTTCTCTGGGTGCACTAAATATGTAATCAGAACAAATCATTGTTTTTCCAAAATGGCATCACTTCTGAATAGCGGTGGCATCAATGAGCTAGACAAGACTTGAGATGTGGAGCATCTCAACTTATTTAGCATCCAAATTAAATAATGAGAAACTGATAATTATTAAATTCACAAATTAATTTCAGATGCTAGTAATGATACTGGGTTCTTTGGGGATTTTCACAGATTTTATGCTGGGAACTAAAGAAATGTGGGAAATGAGAATGTTGGATTTTAATGCGAAACTATTTTTAACATAAATGAATATGGTTCAACTTGTAGGAGTTACATTTTCCTCCTGTTTTGCGAATAGCAGCAAACGTGAGGTCAGTTATAACCTGACTTCTGATTAGCACTGCTGAATCTGCCTGGAAAAGCCAGATCTGGTGAAGCGGGTGGAAGGCAGTTAATGAACTTCGATGGAGTCTTTTAATTACCAGTCTTAAGTTCATCTTTTACTGCTAAATAGCACCCAAGGGCAAGAGGTAATCTGCTTTATAAACCTTGGAGTGATTCGCTTTATAAGTCCTGGAGTTTAGGAAAGTGGAAAACTTTTTTTAAGAGAGCATTTTCTTCCACAAAGAATGACATTTTTGGCAGTTTTGTGAAAAATTTAGTGATGGATTCTTGGTGACCTCTCTGTGTAATATACGCAACCCAAGCACACGCCACATGAGACCAGCTCCTTAGAGCAGTCGGGGCCCGTCCAGCGGACAGGCTGTCTAGAGCTGAGCCGAGCACCTAACGCCACCAGCACATCGCGTGAGTGTCTTCCTGTCACTGAGAGCATGGCATCTCCCTGCCAGTCGCAGGTCTCTTTCCCCACATGCTTAGTCCTCTTGGTATCAGAAAGCCACTTGGTGTGAGGTCATTTCATTTGTACAGTTTCCATGGTACAGATGGTAGAACACCTCAATACATCAGAATCAAGTGAAATAAAAAGCTTAAAAATCCAGATCCATAGCCAAATACAGAAAGTCTAATTCAAAATCTAGAGTTTAAAAAGAAAGTGATATTGACAGTGATTTTGAACTTTTCAAAAGTATAAATGGCTCAAGATTAACAAGGAGCACCCTATGGCTGAACTAGATGAAGCTGCAGTTTTCTTGGATACCTTGCTTGCACGACTAGGCCTTGGCATCTCCGGCTCGGATGAAGGATGGAGTTCACAAGTTGCAATGGGAGACTCCGTTCCCAGACGATCTCCCAAAGCAGTAGTACCAAGAATCACTCTCTCCAGATTCACTATGGACAAATTCACTGAATAACTCTTCACAAATGATATGCTCAGCTCCTGGGAGGGTGGGGAGTCACTTGGAAACGCATGGTCTGTCTTTCCCCCCCAGGGAATGAAGGCTCAGTGCTCACGAGGCCGCCGCGGCGGCGTGGTTCAAGCGGATGACTCTTGCTCGATGGCGTGCAGCGGGATGATCTCGGCACCCTCGTCGCCTGCGTGGTAGGCCGGGTCGGGCTGGGGCTCCTGATGGCAGATGTAAACAGGGAGGCTGCCCTCCTCGGCTGCCAAAGTGGCTGTGCGTGACACGGTGCGGTGGGTGGGACGCCGTCCCCAGCGCTGCTGCCATTGGGTTTTAAATTGTGTCCAGTGGCGCTTCACGGTGGTCTGGACCTGGGAGGGAGGGAAATGAGTTAGGTGTGATGGCTGCAAATGACCTACGTGAACAGTATGAGCACGCTCTTGACAGCTGCCATAGGCTAAATGAGGCTGACTTGTAATCTTGAGTCCCAGGGCTGTGCTGTGGGTGCCTTAGCCTGGCACAGCAGCCACTGGGAAGACGACTTCGCCAGGGACAGCACTGGGGCCCTTGCTGAGTTGGCACGGGTAGCGTCATTTGGTATTTTTGAGCACAGGATGCTTTAGATCTTAGCTCCAAAGCATGAGAGTTGGTTTGGTTTCCTAACGTGGCATTTCTGTCTGATCAGGCAGGAGGGTGTGGGAACCAGTCTGAAGGACCGAGTACCCACCAGTTACTCCCATCTGAATCCAGTGTTGGTCATGAAGCACACGTGGATGGCACAGCTCTGCGTGCTACGGTAAGGGTTCACCCTGTGGATTTTCTTTTTCAGTGATGTAGTGTGCCAGGTAACTCTGTAACAACAAAATCTATCTCTAAAAAAAGATTTCTAGCCCATAAGCATATTTACTTGTCCTGTAAATATGGAAAGCTACACATCAAACACAAGAAGTGATGATGCTAAAGTCAGGAAACTCTGAAATGCAGACAATCACAGCTGCATTTCTGCTCAGATGTAAGTGGAAACAGCAATGAGAACACTTGTGTATTTCAGAGTTTCTAACATGTTCATATCATTTCCATAGTTTATTTCTGCTGTCAAACAGTTCCCTGTAAGGGATTCTGGGAGGAAAAGAGGTAAGTTATGTGACTAATTGTAGGAAACCATTGTATATGATATTGCATGCATCAAAAAAGAGAAATGAGAGGAAAAACTATAGGTGCCATAAAACTGCTTAATGTAAGGCTGAATGTTTCTGTGACAAATAGACTTTTTTCTGTAGAGAGTGGGGTGGAATTGTTTCTGGTCAGTTTTAAAGGTCTTAGGGGAAAGCAAGTCAGGAGGCTTGGGGTTTGCTGTTAGACGGTGTAGAGTAAGACTTAAGATGGCAATCTTGGTCTGCATAATCTGGCAGATGAACATGAGCAGTTTCAGACTCAACCTGCGGTACTGTAGGAGATATTTGCTCAAATTTATATCTGTTGGAGTGTGTTACAAACAGATTGTCATCCCGTGAACCTTTCTGTAGAAGTAACCGGGAAATGACAAGAGGCTCTTCACCGTTCAGACAACTTCCATGTGTAAGTCAGTAAGGAAATGCAACACAAAATGGTTTTTTCACTTTGGGAAACTAGAAGCCTGTTAAGCCCTGCTAATTAGATGCTAAGGGATGTTTTGACTGCAATCTGGAATTGTACCTCATTTTATTTAAGAGACAAAGACAAGGAGTGTCAGTGGTAAGCAGTGAGGTAGGTCCTGCAGCTGAACTTGGCATTGACCTCATAGAAGAACAAAGAATGGCTTGAAGTTCAGGTATAACATGCCGATTATGGTATACCTTGTACAAGCACTGGGTTTGCATAGTCCTAAACGGACTATCTCCACCATGTCTAGCAAGACTGTTCTCATATCTAACGTTTGCACAGGTATTTAGAATACCCAGGGTTGACAGTGAGTTTAGAGTTCTCAGAAGTACTCAGTAGGTGAATTTCTATTTCTCACATGTCTTTTCAAAGTGGTTCCCACCAGAAGATGTGGACATGTTAATCCTGAGTACAAACGGTGAGGCGCCTATGGTAGATTCCCAGTTACTTTAACAGAAAGTGTCATAGGCTTCTTTAATTGCATTCCAAAATTACAACCCATCTTTTTGTGTGGGGATGACAATCTGTTTCCATTTATAGCATGCTCTTTCTTACAAAACCAGAGGTTGAGCCTGAAAGTGCTTAGGTGACAACAGGAAGGGCACTGCATTTACTGGACAAAGTGCCAGGGAGATGTCCGATGGGATAGGAATAATACACAGTGATGTTCACCTTATAAGCACCTATAGTTATGCACCACTCAATGGAAGATAGTTTATCCGAGGAGATTTCAGCTAATGAAAACGTGTAAGTCTTGCTGCTGCTTCACCTCACTTTCTGCCAGCAGTATTCCAGAGACTTGGTGCAATCTGGGTTTAATTTAAAAATAATTTTAAAATAATTTTTAAAAAGTACTCTACCATTAAATGAGTTTAGACTCTTGAAAACTAGATGCTAAGAGATTTTGGAGTATTTACAAAATTGTTATTTTTCACCTTTAGGTGAAAAAATACCAGCAAAATCCCTACTGCTCTTGTTTTAGGGAACTTATATGCTCTGTAATTTGTAGTGGAGGAGTATGTAAAACAGGCTTTTGATTCCTTTTTATTACCTAGCTTTCCATAGTTATTCTGAGAAATAAGTAAAATGTTAAAATTTGTACACAGATCATTTTAATCCTAATATTTCTCTGGACCTGCCCCATTAGGTGAAGATCATTAATTGCTTGAAAATGTTGGATTCTATATAGAAAAATGGTCTTTTAAAGTGTTGGGTCTAGACCAACAGCATGCATACTACTTTGGGAACTGGTTGGAAATGCTAATCTTCAAGCCCCATCCCACACCTGATGTGTTTTGGGTTTTAACAAACCATTCGGGTGAATCTGGCACGCACTTGAAGTTTGAGAGTACTCATCTAGAACAAAAAATATTGTTTGGGTTTGTCTATGAAAAACAATATGAAGGCTCTCTATGCATATGTATTAAAAGGCTCACTGATCTGCAAATTGAATTTCACTAAAATCCAGGATACAGAGAACGGGTATGGTGTGACTTAGGTACAGTGTTACATACAGGAAAGGGAAGTGAGACCACAGAGCCCTTCTGGTCCAGAGAGAAAGAAGGCAGGGAAATGGACATGACCTGGCATTTCTCACGAAGTACCAGGGAACGTGAAAACAAGTCATCTACTTATTTATCCCATTGGAGCAGATTCTCAAAGCCCAGCAAAGAAGCCTGTTAGTGTCCCTGGCTCTAAGTCCAACGTGGTTCCCAAGCAATGGAGGGAGACCATATTCATAGAGACTGCATGGAAGAAAGAAATGAACGGAGTTTCCAGGATCTCCTGGTGGTATGTGGAAAAGAACTTGGGAACTGGGAGAAGACAGTGACATAGTCAAAGAGGCTACAGAATTAGGGGATACTGACATTAATATTTTGTAATATATATAACATAGTGGCTCAATGGCTTCCGAAGTAGCTTTGTATTTACTTTTGTTGCAGAGATTGTCAAACACCAGAGGCTGGTAGACTGGGGGCCCTGAAAGTAAGAAAGCTTTCAAATTGTGTCCCATGAAAACTTGGAAGAGTTTCTCAACTATACACAGTTCTATCTTGAACACCTGCAATTCCACAAATTGGGTTTCCAGGTAAGATTTCAAGGATATTGGTGGTTACAAGTACCAGGAGAACACTGGAAACAATCTCTAGTGTCTATTACTCAGAATCCTTGGAGTCTTACTTTTAGGTCCATTCTCAGGACCTTAGAACCCAGCAACTCAAATGCCAAACCATAAACAAACCAACTGGATCTTGGCCCTGCCCTAGCAATCATGTAAGTCTGTTAAAGGGAATTTGGGACATGCCTGCTCTTTCAAAGGGGAATGCCAAATAGCTTTCATGATTGCTCTTAGGGGTGCTGACCAGTTCAAGATGTTAGCTGCCTGTCTGGATAAGATTAGCTCAGAGTGGTGGAGAAAATACACGGCCCTCACATCAATGGCAGGGCTGAGACAAAGGTGTACAGCAGTCCCTTGGGAACCGTACAATGCCAATTTCACATTAAGTTCTTTTCCACATAACACCTGGAGGTACTGGAAACTCAGCCCATTTCTTCACACCCTGCAGACCCAGTGAATGTGGTCACTCCATTGCTTGGAGTAACAGTGTGACTCGGAGCGATTCCTTACCTCATTGTTGCAGAAGCAGTAGATAGTGGCCACGAAGAATCCCTAAAGGAAAAATAGAATCAGTCCTTTCTTTATGTACTAGGTTGTTCAATAATCATTAGACGTAGATTACCTGGCTAGGATCATCTCCCACTGCAACAGCAAGTCAAAGCTTGATGAAATACAAAGACAAGGGGAGGATGCTTACTGCTGGTAGTCAGCAATGCATCGCAACAAAATTCCTTTCTAGATGTTTGTATTGTTAGAATCCTGCTTGGCTGTGAGGACAGTTCTTACCTGGCTGATTACTGTTCCCTTTAACAGGAAGATTTATAATGGAATATGCTGACTACAGTGGATTATATACTGAAGAACTTGCAAGATTGAGATCCTATAGAGATCAGCAGAGAAGGATTTATGAGCAAAAATATCACCACAGGTGACTAGGGGCCAGAATGTCCCAGCGTGTCATGGTGGGCTACAGCAGTCCTGTAGCCATGTCCATGTTAAAGACATGGATGAAGTAATCCTGGAGGTCCTCCATCACCATCTAGAAGGCTTCACATGTCCCTGCTTAAATGATGGGTAAAATGTGGGGCTGGAGTGGTGGCCTAGCATGCTGATTATCCAGCTGCAGTGCTGGCCTACCACATAGCCACCGGTTCTAGTCCAGATGCTCCAGCCCGGGAAAGCAGTGGAAGATGGCCTGAAGCCTGTGCTTCCGGGTTTGGAGTACCCCAGCTCTGGTGGTTGTGGCCATTTAGGGAATGAGCCAGTGATGGAAGCACTCTCTCCCTCTGTAACTCTTTCAAGTAGAAACTTTTAAAAAATATTAGAATAATAGGTTAGATTATTAAAAACAGATCTCAGATTTTCCTTTTAGAACTGCATTTTTATCACCTTCTCATATTAGTGGAAAATAAGACTAGTAAGACATTTGAAATTGAGTCAGCAAAACTTTGTAGCAGAGGTGATTCTGCTATAAGCTCTGAGGCCAGGCCCCAGCCACCGGCTTTCAGCAGGGCGTTGTATTTTGGAGACTGCACAGGCATGGAGCAGCCATTCGACTCTGCAAGCGAGAAGACGCCAGCTGGCCCAGCACAGCACCTGACGGCCCGCCCACTCCTACTTGAGGACAAATCTGGGGCCAGTGTTCTTCTCCAGGCACTGGATGGACTAAGACAGCTCTGGGCGGGTTCATTCTCCTTATCAGAGCCACTGCTGATTTATGAAAAGGTTTGACAATCCCTGTGTGGGTAATAAGATCACTAAATAAAGTGTCTCAACAAAATCTGGTGTGCTTTGGACTGCTGCCTGGGCCTGCTGCATTGGAGGCTGTAAAGTACTGCAGCATGTAAGGTCGCGGGCTGCAGAAATCAATTGGCAATACAAGAGTCAATAGTGAGTGCAGCCCTACCTGGAAGTGAATCAGGGAGTGCATGAGGTAATCGTAGATCTTCCCAAGAATCTTGTTGGAGGGTCTCCAGGGGAAGACGACGAACTGGATGCCCAGCAGGGGCACCAGGATCATGGTGGCCTTCACGGCCTTCAGGTACATGTGCGACTCGGCCTCGTGGGTCTCCCTCATCTTGGTCACTAGCACCCGGACGATGTTGAGCAGAAAGAAGAAATTGACCTGCCAAGGGGTGGGATGATAAGCCAGTCAGGCGAGCTGCACCATACTCATGTTTAGCCAGTGTCTGGGGGCAGAGCTGGCAGGGACCAGCTGTCTGCCAGCGACACAGCTCGCTCAGCAATCCTGCACCTCACCTGATGGGGAGCCACTCTCTCTCCAGCCCTGGACTCTTACCTTCTTAAAGAAAATATTTTTCCTGTACTGTGAATACACTAGGTTGGGGTATATTCCTTCTCTTGATTACTTTTACAAAGGAGCCTAACACATGCTTTTTGTTAGCAAGGCTTTTCCTCTGGGGATGAGTTAACTGGCACAGAAATGAAAACTGACAAAAAGTAACTTTGGTACAAAACAAATTCCATCTATATGTGGAATCTTTAAAGAGTTCATTAAAATGTATGTCATGGAAAATGCATTGATTTATAAACATTTCACATTAAATACTATTAAACAATGTATATATTTGCTTATTGATTTTCTTGATGGAAATTGAGGTTCTTTCTGTATTTTGTTACAAATAAGAGTGCTACAGACATGTTTAGACAGCCAAGTCTTGGGGTTCTATCCATTTCTTCTGAATAAATGCCCAAGTGAAATTACCTGTTTACATGGGTCTTCCTCGCATCTCTCTACTTGCCAGCCTCTTACTATTCTTTGACTTTGGGCAAGATCACCACAATCTTTGGGTATAATTTCCCTACATAGTTAAACCTCCTGATGGTAGAGGGTGGCCGTCAGGAACACAGGGAGAAGTTCAGGAGCTGGCTGACCAGTGGCCCATGGAGCAAAGCTGGTTTAGGTTTGCAGGACCAGGGGAATAATGCATGATGATAGCCATAGCTCTATGGTGTCCTGATTTTTTTTTCCTTTTTATCAGCAATACCTTTTATAATTCCTTTAGCCTTGGGTCTTCACCTTTAAGAATCTAGTCAAAGATTTTTAAAAACTAGCTGCAGAACTGTTGTACTGTGGCTACAATTGAATTTACGGTAACCTAACCACCCACATGTGAATTAGACATCTTTCAAATAAAAGATATTTTTTTAAAGACTCTAAAATCAAGTCATTTTTCTTAGTATAGAATACTTCTAATAGAACATCATTGAATTCACTAAGTTCTAAGACATAATGCTATACAGAGAAGTCCCAACCAAGGGACAAGGTTAGCAGTAAGGAAATCCAGAAGCGGTTCTCACCACCAGAGCTGCCATCACTGGGCCGTGGATGATGTAAAGCAGGTGGGTCTCCACACTCATCCAGCAGCTGGAAACAGAAGGGGACACAATGCAGGTATCTTCCTCTGCCAAAGATGCTGACTTAGGGACCACAAGGATACTTACTTGTCATTGAAGTAGAGTGCTCGAGTAATGGCATGGATCGTGGTTGGCACCAGTGGGAACCCTGGAAACAAACAATACGTGTCACACTTGGTCTCTAGGTCACAAGTTGTACTTACAGTTACATGGAACATGGCAGGGTACTTGCAAAAAGGGTCGCCCACTCAATGTTTCTCCCCAGACTGTTGTTTGGCACAAATTTTCTTTCCCCAAGACAGATGATGCTGTTCCCGGTTAGAAGACTGTGGGCTTTCAGGGTCTGGTGAAGAACATCCAATTTAAAAGCCTTTACCACGTGACCCAGCGGAGCAGTTGCTGTCTTCCTCTCCCTATGATGTTGACCATGGTTGTGATGCCCATGATAAAGACCGAGGTGATGAATATATGGAGCTAAAACCAGAGCATCTTTCTGCTGTGGAAGAACATGGCTTTGCCCTCAAGAGAAGCTGGGGACCTCCAGATGGGTGATTTGGAACAGCAGAGGGAGCCACAGGCTGTGGCCCCTATGCCTTGGTTATTTTTCACATGATTCTGGCCTTTTGACTTTTGCTTCTTTCACATGCATGAGTCCTGTTTCTTTGTAATTCAGATGCTGCAGAGCAGCCAGGGTCTTCCTCACTGTGTCATTCTGCCTACTGAAACGCTGTGGAGGCGTCTAGCTTAGTGTCCCCTTCCCTGCCCGACCCAGAGGCACCTTAAAAAATCAGCTCTGAATTAGGAACTTGAACAACACAAGAGCTACTAGCAGTGTAGCCTGTCCAATGATTACTTTTTAAAAATCAGTTATTCTATCAATGTAACCTACAGTTGTAATTTTCATAAAAAGATCCCCCTTGCTACTCAGATGTGCCTTTGTCGAACTGAATATGGTCTGATTGCTCCACCTGCAGAAAGATTTGGTTATTGTTATCAGATTAGGAAATCCCGAAGAAAGCCAAACCTGTATGCTTTGCTAAAAACTGGGAAAAGGCTTCAATAGCTAGAGTTTTTAACCTAAGAATAACTACAGCTTTAATTTATATATATTTTTTGAAAGTCAGATATACTGCACTGATCCAAAGCCAGGAGCTTCTTCTGGGTCTCCCACATGGGTGCAGGGTCCCAAGGCTTTGGGCACTGCTTGACTGTCTTCCCAGATCACAAGCAGGGATCTGGATGGGAAGCGGGGCTGTTGGGATTAGAACCAGTGCTCATATGGGATCCTGGTGCTTGCAAGGTGAGGACTTTAGCCACTAGGCTACCACGCTGGGCCCTAACCACAGCTTTTAAATTCACCAAGGTATAGCCTACGATACCTTCAGAGTCTGTTCACATAAAGCAGTTGTGTGGTCCACAACGCTTCTAAAATACCACTTCTTCAATTCAGAAATAAACTCTGCAGTTACTCTGAAAGTCATACTTGGGAATGAGATGGCAAGAGGCATATAGAACTCTCAAGCCCACCTTGTAGTTTTGTCAGAGGGAAGTTCTGTTACTCTTCAGGGAGAGGAGCGGAGACCTGTGTGTGATGACTGTGATGAGGGGTGGGGGCAGGCAGTGCACAAGCCTTTGCTTCCTTCCACCTCTTTGCAACGGTTTGCTTTCTTCATCTTTTCCCTACAGGCCCCAAGGCCAAAGGAGTCTGTTTCAGACAGATGAGACCAGTTCTGTCTGTTCAATGTAAATGTTCATGGGGGAATTTCCTGCCTTTTGGAACAAGGAGGAAAATGGCAAAGTGGAGCATCAATCTGAAGGCAGCTCTAAGAATCAGTGATGTTTCTAAAGCTGCTGCAGTTGTAGAGATCAGCTACTGCGTGGTGCCCTGAAGACTCAGAAGGAAAAACAGCCATGGAGAGAGGCATTCTTTCATTCTGTTTCACTCACAATGTGAGGTTTACGATGCCTCATAATTCTTGGCAATTCTTACCAGACCCTGGAATTGGTAGTTACAGCTAACATTGGTAGCCCTGGGGGGGGGTGTTGGAAATTGCAGAGTCTAAGGGATCTCCACCCCCTCCAATGTGGACAGAGCATCCACAGCCTGGACATCTCAACACCTGGCTTCTTACTGCTCGCCAGGTAGGATGCTGACAGCAAGTCTTGCCAGGAAGTGCCAACGGCTACACTTGTCCACCAGACTCTCCTCCCTGGCCTCTCATTGGGCCGCCCTGCTGCTGCAGCTACAGCAAATAACAGCCTCACATGGGTAGTAGGGCCAAGGTCAAGGAAGCCTGTTGTCCACACAGTGAGATTCTCCCAAGCTGCACAAATGGGTGACCCTCGCTCCCTCGGGCCTGTGTCCATCCGTCATCTGGGTTCCTTGGCTGAAGACACTCTCGTAGTCACATCTTCCCTTCTCTGTGCTGACCCTCAAGTTCCTTGTGGCTTGATGGAGACTGACCCCCTAGCAGTATCCACATAGGATCATCCCTTGGAGATGCAGAGCATGATCAACACTGGACCCACACAGACAGAAGCTAACGTGGCTCAGAGATCAGCCAGCCTAGGGACTTACCCCAGCCCAGGAGATAGTACCAGCGCAGGTGCCGCTGCTTGGCAAACACAGCCACCACGATCAGCGTGTGCAGGTAGATCCCTTCGCAGAGCATCCAGAAATAATTGCACGACATCATGTACTGGTGGAAAAAGTGCAAAACCTTGCAGCTCACCTGGCAGAAAGAAAGGAAGATGCTCAGTGGAAGACACAAGTGAAGCACTGGCAGTGAACGAGGGTCAGGCGTCTTCATTAGGCTGGCAGGGCCAGTTCCTCCAACTGGCCAACCTGTGTCTGCATGTCAGCACAAGAGTGCGTAAGCCAAACAGAAGCCCGGTCCAAAAATGTTCTTTCCCCATTATATTCTGGGGATTAATGTTGAGTATGCAAGGTCGTTTTCTGCAATGCAATTTTAAATTTAGAGGATAACTGGTGAGTTGTCACATGATTTTTAATGGCCCCTTTCTGTCATTGTGATAATGAATATGCAAGACTTCTTGAACACTGGTCCTGAAGTGCAGTGCTCTGTTGATGAAGTCTCCTTAGCAACAAAAAACCAAATCAGGCAATACATTTCTCATCTGTGGACCAGGAGCTTTGCTACTAAACCTAGCTGCTGAAGCTCATGGTTTTATTTTGCTGTTTGAGTCTTGGCTTATGCATCAGAATAAAAGTGTTTGTCAAGTCCTCTCTAGGCACTGGGGTTTATTAAGCTCAAGCACTTAGCAAAGATGTGGGAGCTAGCCTCCCCCTCCCACCCCGAAATCAGAGTAACAACATATTGTCTTCTATACAGAGTTATTCAAATGGCCTAACAGAGTGTCCAATATTCTGTGACACTCATTTGAAGTCTTCTGTTTTTTGTTGGGTTGTTTTAGTAAGCACATGCGGCCAAATCTAAAATGCAAATCCTCCGTGATGCTGGCAGTCATTTTACATTATGCCATGCTTTTGGAACGATTTGCCATCATGTAGTTAGGAGGTCAGCCAAAGACCAGACTTTCTGAGACTTGTCCCCTTAACTTCTATAATTACCCTACATTCTGCCTTCTGTTCATTAAATTGAGTAAAACTAAGGATTTTTGATCAGAATTTTGGATATCATAGAAAGGGGGCAATTGCAATTAATCAATGGAACTCCATCCTCAGCTGCCATTGTCAGGCGTTCTCTTCCTCCCAGGATATAGCTGTCTTGCACTACTATTCATTTTTAAAAAATATTTATTTCATTTTTAATTAGAAAGTCAGAATTACAGAGAGAAGCAGAGACAGAAAGATCTTCCATCTGCTGGTTCACTCCCCAAGTGGCTGCAATGGCCAGAGCTGAGCAGATCCAAAGCCAGGAGCTTCTTCCGGGTCTCCCATACAGGTGCAGGTTAATAAGGCCTTGGACCATCCTCTACTGCTTTACCAGGCCACAAGGGATCGCTGTGTGTGCAAAGTGAGGATTTAGCTAGGTCCGTGCTAGTATTCATTTGATAAATAATATATGAGGAATAACCAAGTGGTTTTTAATTTTCATAGCTGTAAGAATAGTCCTTCTACCATCTAAGGAATAATCATTTGTTTCCCAGTCACTTGTCATTTTTCATTTCTGAGAACATGTCAGGTTTTCATGTCTTGCAGATCATTGGAATATGTGTCTGGTGCTGCCATAAAGTTCAAATAAAATATTTAAAAATATAGTGCAGGTGGATTAATTTTTAAAACATACTTTTTTTCACATTCAAACAGTGGCTTCCATTTTCCTGGTTATTTACATTCTATGCAAATCAGCCAGAACTTCTCAAAGCTCTTGAACTTATTACATGTAAAGTTCATAATCACGTTCTTTCTCATGGAGGAGAGATGTGAGGCTTATTTGTCAGTGGAATTCAATCACATGTGACATGAAGATGGATGGCTTCCACTGAAGGACTAGTTACATGTTTGTTCTACCCTGGCCAAGTTTAGTGCAGGTTTCTTGGAAAACACGCCTTCTTGCTTTTCTTATTTCAATCAAAAGAAAACAAGCTTTTGTTTGGATCAGATATGGTGGCTCCCATTCCCCACCTTCCCAAAGTATATCTCTTTCGAAACAGGAAAAATGCTAGAGAAAACTGCCCTAAAACAATTACTAACGAAGGTCTGACTTCAGGGAATCATCAGTTACTGACCTCCCCTGTTCTTCCCCTGCCTGTGAGATTTTTGTTTTCAGGATAGTTTTAAGATGTTATTGGAGAATAGAATATTTTGGCATTAGTTTTTATTTATACACACAGTGAGATGCACTCACGGAGTCTATGGGTGTTTGCCACATGGAAGTGTGAGTATGCCATTCATTATAAAATCACTGATGCCAGCTACAGGTCAACGATTAAATGGAGTTGTTGTCTAGAAAGAAACCATCTAGCAATAGCAACTAATGAGACCCCTTAGAGTAATGACAAGAACTACAGATTTGCTGAAACCAAGTACAAGGACCTAGGGAATTAGCCATAGGCAGAGATTTAGGCGCAGCCTCATGGAAAATGGTTTGCAATAGTATGCCCTTGGGAAATGTTAAGTGTTATGTTACTTATGGACTTCAGACAACGCTGTGGAAGTGAGCAGAGCAGTTTTTGTTATTCTCATTTGATGGGTTTAAAATGGCTCCTAAGATTTAGTAGCAAATTCAAAACCTCAGTGCAGCCTGTTTCCTGAAGTCCAAGTTTGTGCAGGATCTCCCTGTGGGCTATAGCAGAAGCAAGCTCGAAGCATCAGAAACGTAATGCCTTCAACAAGAATGGGAGAGACGCTTTTTAAAAGACTTAGGGAGGGAAAGAAGGGTAGTGGGGAAGCCCTATACCTGCAAAACTATTTAATGAAATAATAATAATAATAATAATAATAATAATAATAAGGCATTCACAGTACTTCCTCATGACATTTGTTTGATCCTGGCGGCAGCTTATCTAATACCTAGCGTGCCGTTTCGTGACTTACTTCTACAGATAGTTACTTTCTCAGGATTTCCTCCCTTGATGGAAAACAGAAAACCAACACCTGATTATTCTCCACCATGACATGCTTAGTGAACCTCTGAGAGACCTGTTTTAAACTCTGTTGGATCAACCTCCCCACTGTAGTGTGCCTGGCCCCCAGGGACAGTCACCACTTTGCAATGGCTGAGCCTGGTTAAGAACACATCTTCCGGAGGCAGCCAAGATAACCGATGGCACCCTGTGGGACAGAAAGGAGAGGCTGGCTTGTGTGTGACATGGCTGGGTGACAATCCCAGCTCTACTTATCTGCCAGCACTCAACCTCCATTTTCTTCATTTTAAACTCCCTGGGATAATATCTACCTGAGCTGAGTTTTGTGAGGTTCAAATTTAACATAAAAATGCCAATTTGTCAAGGTGAGCCCATCGGAGTCATTATTGTGCATCTAAGACCAGCCTTTGCCTCTGAGAGCAAGCATCCTGATTTTAAGATGGATTACGATGTCTTTGTGGACATAATCACACTGCAAAGATATTAACACTGTGGATCCATCACAAGCCAACTGAAGCTGCTTTCTCATGCCATGCCAGTGTCACGCAGAAAGCATGCTCTGGGCAGATTCCACGCATTTTTGTCACTGAGTTGGCAGAATTGTCAGGTGTCAGTTTTGAAAGATGAGGCTATCTACAGATGCTTGCACAACACAGCTGAGCAGAGAAACAAACAAAAAAGCTATCCCTTGGCCAGTCACTATGAGAGCTTCTGTTGTGCTTTTGGGTGCACTGCCAACTACCTCACTTCCACTGCCTGGGCCCAGAGAGACATATCTGCCCGTCTCCACAGAGCTTCCCTGTCCTTCAGCTTCTGGTTGCACCTGGTTAACGAAGCCCATCAGTAGAGATGGAAGGATGGATGTGAGGGTACAGCATGGCATTTATTTCTGCACTTACTATGGTGGGGCTGCAGGAGGCTTCCAGTGTCTCGAGCCCTGAGTTTCTAAGGACAATTCTCACCACAGCACCCAAGAAAGCACTTTCTGGCACAGGTCCTACTGCCTGCAAAGTCCTTCGCAATCCTTTGGGAGAGGATGCATCTCTTGTCAGGTGTGTGGACATACAGCAAGACATTTATGCACCTCATTAGAGGAGGTCCATAGCTGTTCACTGCTGCGGTGACTGGCCCAATCCCAGCCTGGCCCTGGAGCACCAAGTTCAACATTCAGGCACACCACAGACACTGGGGCCACAGCACAGTGCTTCTTAGACACATCGTGTTGTCCATGTCCGTGATGTGCTCAGTACACATTTTCATAGATGTTGCTAAATTATAAGTTAGTCATAAAAACTCATAGTTTTGGGTTGGTGCGTGGCACTGCAGGCTAATCACCTGCTGGCCACACTGGCATCCCTTGCGTGCACCAGTTAAAGTTTGGGGTGTTCTACTTCTGATTCAGCTTTTTGCTAATGGCTTGGGAAAGCAGCTGAGGATGATAAGGCCCTGGGTCCCTGGATCCACACAAGAAGCTCCTGGCTTCAGACCAGTACAGTACTGGCTGTTGCAGCCATCTGGGAAGTGAACCAGAGGATGGAAGATCTTTCTCTCCTTCTCTCTCTCTCATCCAAATAAAGTGAATCTTTTAAAGAAAAGCCTAAGTTATCACTTTCATTTTTATCATGATTCTAATATTCCCAGGCTTTTACCAAAGGAAGTAACAATTACTTTCAAGAATTACTAGGAAATGGAAGATTTGGCTTACTACAAACTTCCACCGTGACAGTCAGCATAATCACACAGCTAATCAAATCCAACAGGAACATCATTGTCACTATCTAGATATGACATTCTTCAAAAACCTTAAAGACAAAACCACGCATGGCTTACCGGGTCCCTTCGCACCAGCTCTCCGTTGGGCACAACCTCCACCAGGTGGATAATGATAATCATCGAGTTCAGAATGTAGGTCAGAAACATGTTCTTGTGCAGGGTCACTCGCTGACAACCAAGGCTCCTGCGACCAAGAGAAACAGGATTAGTCCCTGCCCAGATGCTGATGCCTTTGGTAGAAAGCCATTGTAGTAGTAATCTTTCTTATATTTTCCTCAGCAACAGATAAGGGAACGTATGTATTGATGCATGGGAAATATGAATTAGGAATCATTTCCTATAACTGACATGAACCCAAGTCATAGCCTCCCACTGTAACGTTTTGAGATTTCCTTTGTCTAGGCATCATACCTCGTTCACAAGGGAAATGGAAACTGAGGAAAGGGGATGATGAAAGGGACTAAATATACAATAAACTGCATTAGCACTGCTGCAGATATTCACAACACAGCCTATGTTCTATCTTTCCTATTGGAAAGGGACTGCAAACCTTCAGACTGAGCACAAAATACAAAATGATTAGCCTCAAGGAATTTTCTTAATTTCTATTTCTTTTCCTCTGACCACGATGGACAGTTATCTTTTGTCAATAGGAAGTTAGAACAAAGGCTGCCATTTTTTGACACAACTAATTTAGCAGGTTCCCTGGAAGAACAGAAAAGCAGTCAGAGATATGAAATGGGGGATTCAACACCACCTGTTCCTTCAGTGTGAAACCAGGACTGAATGGAACACTGATGGGGATGTGGAAGACTCTAGATGCCCTGCTTGAAGCCCTCTTCTGTAACCTCCAAGATTACTTTGAGGTTTGCCAATACATGTTTTTGCAACTTTCACATATGAGTAAATGGGTATTTAAAAAATATATATCAGAAAGGCAAGAGTACAATTGGTCATGAGGAATGATAATGAATATTATCCTTTTCTTGAAAAGAACACAGTGGGATTTGTAAGTATTTATGATCAGTTCATAAAACGGAGGGTAAATTGTAAGTGCCAGTCGTGAGGTAAGTGGGGTGCATGGCTCCTGAGAACGGTCAGTACCACAGGCCAGTCAATGTCCATTCAGGTCACTTTCTCACAGGATCTGCATCTTAGTCCTCTGGGTGACATTTTGGGTCGGTATCTAGTTGTGAGGATTCTTGCTAAAGATGTACATTTACTCTTTGTCCATATTATTACTTTTTCCCCCCCACAAATGCCTGTATAGCAAAGATGCCGTCTACTATGTTTAACTTGTGGCCCAGAAGTAACTTGCTCACCATCCTGGGGAGCACTTTGAATTTTTATTCATTTAAGGCCTTGAGTGTTGCCTTTTTTATGCTCAAAATCACTGAAAATTCTTTCAATGGGTGGGAAAAAGAAAAGTTCAAATTATCAATAACAGACTTTATACACACTCTACATTAATTCTTTTAAAGTGCAGGGAGCATACTTCCTATTTGTTTCAGGTTATAGAACCATGACTTTTAGCTTCCTTTGCATACTTAGGAATAAAACCTCATTAAGATTAAAGGTGTGCTTTAATGAGCTCATGTCGAGCAATTTTCCAAGACTTCTAGTGAAACATTGGCCATTCCTTAACCTCCTGTATATTCAGGGACTTTAAATTCTTCTGCAGGCCTCCTCCACCTGCTGGCTGAAGGACACCTGCAGGGTCTCACCTTGTTGGAGACCTTCCAAGGACGATTTGAAGGGTTCTGAGTGAGTTTCAATGGGATGATTACAACTGCCACAGCAGGTCTCAGAAGTGAAACTACACAGCCTCTCATTTTCATCCATGCAAATTTTATGAAACTGACTGGATTTTGCAAAATAACAACCCAGGAAATGCAGAAGTAAGCAAGAAAGTGCTGATTATGTGTTCGCTCAGGTTTCATGTAAATATCATTAACTACACAATACAGGAACCTTCATTATAATGCACAGGACAGATCTTAAGGGTGACGACTGTGTCTACAAAAATTCTTGGGAAACTTTGTTAATCAAAAAATAAAGTCAGTTGATCAATCTGAATAACCTTCTACTTTAGCAATTACATTTAATATTACTGTCATCCAAATAATAAAAGAAAATTGAAGAGTCAAGAACATCCTTTCCTTTTTAGCAAAAGGGAATCCATGGCATTTTTAGTTCAAGTAGGTTTAAGAACAAAGAGAGAGGTCAGTGCTGTGGTGTTAAGACGTGTGGTGTCAGCATTCCTTGTGGGCACTGGTTTGAGACCCTGTTGCTCTACTTCCCATCCAGCTCCCTGTTCGTGTGGGAGACCCAGAAGAGGCTCCTGGCTCCAGAGTGGCCCAGCTCTGACTGTGGATAGAAGTTTTCTTTTTCTTTTTCCTTCCTTTCTTCCTTCCTTCCTTTTCTTTTTCTTTCTCTTCTTTCTCTCTTTCTCTCTCTCTCCCTCCCTCTCTCCCCAATCTTCTCTCCTCCACCCCTACTTTGCTCCCTCTCCCTCTAATAATTCTGCCTTCAAAATAACAAATCATTTAAAAAGCAGCATAAAATCAAATCAGGCTTCCTTGGGGTTTGACTATTTGGCATGTATTGTGTCTTACTTGTCTTTTATTGTGTCTTCTATGGCGATCCTGCTATTCAAATTTATATATTCTCATTGCATTCAATTTATAAACTGATGAAGCTTTCCATTCTTTCTAGATTTATGATATTTTTGGTTGGCACTTGGAAGTAAGAGATAACAGGACAAAGTCAGGTACTTCCAACACGATCTCCCCCCTTACTTGACCAAAGTCTCTTTGCTTGGAGGACAATTGTGCTTAGACTTGTAAACACTCATTCTCAGAGGCTTAACAGAAAAGTGATGGTTGGGAAAAACATTCCTGTTAGATACGTGCATCTTCTCACGACTCAGTGACTAGAGAACTAAGGAGTTCAGAAACGCCCTCTTCATGTTGGCTTAAGGCCTGGCTACATTCATCAGTTGCGAGACTATAATTTTCAGACATTTTTCTTATAATTAGAAAAAATCCTTAAAAATGGACTTTTAGCCAGAGGCTTTTTAATTACGGTTATGTGGTGATGTGTTTATTCATCATGGTGAGGTACAACTGAAAAATGGTCCACATCCTGAGACCAAGCATGCTCTGTGATCACACTGTGTCCTGATCACCACAGTGCAGCATACTCTCCTTTGCTGATTCTACTCATTGATAACCTGGGTTTTGTTAAACCAATTATGGGAAAATCTCTGCTTGTGTTGTGACTTGATATTCAGCTTTGTTGCTTAGCCAATGTAAGAATCTTGACTAAGATGAAGGTAAAAATTTAAACAGGTTTTAGAAGAAATAGTAAATGTGCCAAATATATGTTCACAGGTGATTATTCTCCCTTGGGTTTGATTTTCTTTACTGAAGAAGACATAAACATCAAATTAAGATTCTACAGATGAATCACTGCATATTTGCCTTATATAACACATCTTTTAATTAAGGAGGAGGATTTGTAGCAGCCTGAACCAATGAATCCTTGCTTCACCACTTATGTCAGGCCATCACAACTACCATTTAGGCCAATAAAACTGTTGATGATAATTGTGATATCAAATCATTACGTTTCATATGTCATGTGTCAAACACAAATCCAGTCATTTTGTTTCCACTGAATCTAGCTCAAGTTCAAACATAATTCCTGACCTGTGGTACAACTGTGAAGAATGCACGCGTGAGTACACTTCCAGAAGCCAGTATGCACATCTGAGTGCTTGACTTTTACCAAAGTATGCTGTGATCACAACACCTTTTACCACTGCTAACTCAAATGGATAGCTGGCCGGAAAGTTCTGCTTTTTTGCTCCTCTAAGGATGACAAACGCTTTAAAGTGTTCAAGTTATTCTTACGTGTTGTCTCATCTTTTTGCTTTCTAGTATAATTATGCACATGTACATCCTGCAGAAGTCCCCTGTGAATTAAAGTTTGTAGAAACACACTGTCATGGGCTTGACTGTTTCTAGCTAATTTCATATCCACATTGAGAAAGCAGACTATCCAAACTACAGCAGGCCAAGAATATAAAAGTGAATGGAAGAAGATACATTTCAGCAGGTAACTCAGTCTGCTTCTGTAAGGCGTAAGCTCGCCAGACTTCTCATTTAAAGACACTGCACTAAGTTCACAGGACCATGTCACTGCCCCACATAATTCAGTCTGTCTGGAAGACATAGAATCACCTTTCTAAATTCTCCATTTCTACAAATCCAGTGTCTACATTAGCTTAATCATTTTGCCTTAAACAACATGTCAAGCATATAGGCTTAGCCCCATCAGAAACCCTCGCCGGAATTTTATTCTTCATTGGGTCTTTTAAAATTTTTTGTTATTATAAAAAGAACAGATTTCATGTATTTTACAGATGCAACTCTAAGAAGATAACCATATTTCCTTCCCTCCCTTTTCTCATTCCCTTTAATATTTGCATAACCTAATTTCAGTCCAGTTTACAATCAGGCTTATTAGCGAGTCTTAGAAGGTAACTAGCTAACAATGACAGGCTTGCAAGGGCAAAAAATGTACTCTAGACAATGGGCCAACTTTCAGAAATTTTCCTTGACCTTGGTTGTGTGGGTTAAGGCCAGAAGAGATGCTCAGGACTTAGCTTCGTATGTGGCCTCTGTCAGGGCCTTTCCAGCCCCATTTCTTTTCTGTCCAAGTTTACTTGTGGTAGAATTCACAATTTGGCAGGATGCATTGGAACTTGTGATTGTGGTTTTCCTATATTTGAGTGGGGATATTTGAGTTCCTTCATGGAACTTTATTCATGGTAAATGAAACTTTTACACTCTTACGAGGGCACTCGCAGGCCCACAAGATTGTATTGTTTGGAGAAGAAAGAATATTGGCTCAAAGATAAGTTAAACCCATGTGCCATTTTACTCATTTACCACCACTCTGTCCTCCCACCGAGGCCCATTTCGCATGATTTACAGGTGATTCCCCCACACCATGCCTGCATAATTCAGCATTAATTTCAATAAGTTAAAGAAGAAAATAAAAAAGCAGAGGCTGTAAATGTACTTACGGGAAACACATAAAAATCCCCAGGGAGATCACCAAGGTGATAATTGACAGAGAATGGCCCACAATAGCCAAGTAGTACAGAACATACGCATTCTGGAAGACAGAAAATGGTTAAAAGCCACAGATGAGGAAATAACTATAAAACGGGACACCAGTGTGTTTCTAAACACAATAAATATAAGTAATTGTTTCTTCCTTTCAAAAAGGATACTAAGGTTACAACAGATTTCAGAGAATAAAATTCATAACAATCTGTAACATTTCCATTCTTGTCAATCAATCTTAGGAAAGGTCAGAGATGGAAAACCAAATTCTGCTAAAACATTTCCAAGGCTCCAAGAACTCCACGGGTGTGTGCATTCCTGTGTCCTGAGCTGCTCATCTGCAGGCGTTCACAATGGACCAATCAACTTCTCCTGAGCCTTGCGTATTACAGTGCGACTGCGCAGGCCCTTGTTGCCTGTGCTCCCTGGCACTGTATTTCTAACAGGGCTCTCAGTCCTCACAAGGCATGAGAACAGAGCTGCTTTGTAACTGGTTCTGGAACAAAAATTCCGACAGTTTCCTTAAGAGTTAAGAATCTTTGCAACTATTTTGAATTTGTTTTATGAATACTACGAAAATTCATATAGCTTTATTCTCGCTACTTTTAAATGATGACATCTATAAATTACCTCATACGGGTTCGGGAGACTTCAGAACACCCTCGCTTGAAAACAGCACATACTGCTCTCATTCAGAGCTGTTTGAGCGTATAGGATTACAGCAGCTCAGAATTTAGTTGCCACCTTTCTGTCACTTTTAGAACTGAAAATATTTTTTAAAAATTTTATTCTAGATTGGTTTCTTCAAACTTTGTTATCATATTTATGTGGAAATTTTATGGAAAAAATTTTAATCATCACAGTCAGTGCATGGAAGGGATCATGTCTTCTTAGAGTTTTTTATTTCCTTCTCTGATGCGACCAGTGTGAGAAGGTCAAACACGGCAACACTGGGAAATGTTTACCTGAACTTCACCATGATCAGGGTTGTGACTTTCTGTCAGATCACATCCAGTAGTCATTTGGGCAAATTCTTAACTCTGACATGTCATCCCAGTCAGGCTTGAGTGAACAACTCCCCACGAGGTTGTAAGTGCGCATTCTCAAGGTGGAGTTGGCGATTTGGGAAGAGGTCGCTGGCTTGAGTGTTCTCAATCTGGGCTTGTGGCAAAATGTCCTTGCAAACCGATGGCATCTAATCTAGCTGCTCCTCTTTCTTACCTTGTGTTGTTGCTTGTTATGTTTTGAATAAAAGAGAAGCTGTCTATACTCTGGGTCCTTCTTAACAGCAAACAAAAACATGCTTCTAGCTTCCAACTTGGGAGTTCACTGACCTATCTTTACACAAGGGCAAACTAGCTTCAATGTAGAGCGCAGCCAGCGGGCAGCTCAGAGATGCCTGAAAGGTAAACCCTGACCAAGTGCCCTCCCACCCAACAAGGCTCTGAGAGGAGAAAGCTAATGCAGACTTAGTGATCTGGTCAGATTTCTGATACATCTGATGGTGATTTGGAATTTTCTTCCCCATAGGTTTGAATAAATATAAGCAGAGCTGATATTTGATGCATTTAACTGCCAACAAGATATAAGTGCTATAGGATTGGAATGCATTTCTTCTGGGCCTAATGTAAATGGTGCACTGGCCCTTGGGAAGCCCCATGTCAAGGGTGCCTTTGAAGTCTGATAGCCAAGCTAGATGCCTGTCCAACACAAAGAGGCATGTGTTAGCTTGTGCCTTGTGATGAAGCTGTAGCTGTAGGAATCTTCCAGAAGAATGGAGACATGAGGGATTCCCTTGAAAATGCTGCCTCCTTTCTGGCATCAGTGAGAATCCATCCCCTGCACTCGAAACTTCCACCGACCAGGAGTTCCAACTAAGGAACACCAGGTTGTTTTCCCTCATGCCATTTCAGGCAGAACTTAGACCTCACAGGCCCTCCTCCACTTTCCTTTCCTCAAGAGCCCCTGGATCCAGGCAGCAGCCACGTGACAGTGACACATTCATCTCCATGCACACCCGCAGGCATCCTCAGGCGACGCCGAAATGTGAAATGGACCCTACCTGCAGCTTCTCGGGAGTGAAGGCATTGCACATCGTATAGTTGGACCAGGTCTGATTGTTCCCAGGGTGTTTAAACCAAACGCCTGTTTCGTCACAGTATTTTGTAACCTTTTCTGTTAAGGAATTATAAGAGTTGCATTAGGATTTGAAAATTTTCCAAGAAGGAAAAATAACAAGTGACATCTTAAAAACCATCCCAAGGGCCTGATCCCTTGACTGTGACTATAAGTCACTGGAGACGGCCTGACTAGTGCATTGTAGCAGGTGTTTCAACAGGCTCATCTTCTCTCTTCAGCAGGGTCAAAGCAAACAGATGTTGCCAGCTGCATTTTACGAACAGAAAGCAGGGAGTGGGAGAGGCTATGGAGCTTGGAGATCTCACTCAGACTGAGCCAGAATTTAAATCCAAAGCTGTCAGACTCCAGAGTTACATAGCTAGACCTGCATTCATATTTTTAACAGAAACGTTTCTGATTACAGAGGGAAACTAAGTGAGAAAACGAAAATCCTAGTTTACTTCATTTGTATATAATATCTTTCATTATATTAACAGCATGAAATTAGTTTTTGTGAATCAAATAATCAAAGATTGGCATTCCATATGGTTAGACCCAAGAAAACAAAAAAGTCTAAAACTAAGATATATCAGGACGTCCTTTTTTTTTTTTTTTTGTCTGAAAAGGATGTCATTTAAATCATCTCTTCCATCTCACAGAAAATATACTGGGATTTGTGAAAATCTATCTAATTTTATTTTGCAATTTTATGTTTTTAAGAGTCATTTATTTTGGGCCCTGCACAATAGCCTACTTGCTAAACTCTTTGCCTTTCATGCACCAGGATCCCATCTGGGTGCTCATGTCTTAGCTGCTCTACTTCCCATCCAGCTCCCTGCTTGTGACCTGGGAAAGCAATGGAGGATGGCCCGAAACCTTGGGACTCTGCACCCATGTGGGAGACCCAGAGAAAACCCCTGGTTCCTGGCTTTGGATCGACTCAGCTCCATTGCAGCTACCTAGGGAGTCAGTGGACAGACAATCATTCTCTTTGTCTCTCCTTATTTCTGTAAAATCTGCTTTTCAAATAAAAATAAATGACTTAAAAAATGTTTATTTTTGGGCCCGGAACGATGGCCTAGCAGCTTAAGTCTTGCCTTGAACATGCCATGATCCCATAAGGATGCTAGTTCCAATCCCGGCAGCTCCACTTCCCACCCAGCTCCCTGCCTGTGGCCTGGGAAAGCAGCCAAGGACAGCCCAAAGCCTTGGGAACTGCACCCATGTGGGAGACCTGAGTTCCCTTGCATTTTTGTGTCAAATCTTGAGTTTAACATGAGAAAACATAAAATATGCAGAAAAAGTGCTATACAATGACAAACATTCATTTACAACTTTTACAATGGAAGTGAAATTGGCACCACTTGTTTACCTAACTCACATGTGTAGCAGCTGACACAGAACTGTGTGTTGATGTGGTTAGACACCACAATATTAGTCTTTTTTTACTCACTAAATTTTGCTATTCTGCCACCAGGCCAGAAATGTTGTATCCAGAGCTATTTACTTGCCCTTAAACAAAAGAGCTTCATTTGATTTTCAAGGTTATTTGAAAATTCCATTGTGCATGTTATACCAGCACAATTATAAACAAACTTGTTATAAACAAGTATTTGTGAAAGTCACCAGAAATGACAAATACAACTAAAAATGTTTTTAAAGTCCCACATGTAAAGAAAGTCATTCATAGTATTTTAGGAGAATGGGTTTTAGAGACCAGAGTTTGATAACCACAGACACAGCTGAGCAGCCACTACTTGTAAAACAAAGACCACTTGCAGTGTCTGTACAACAGGACGCTCTCTCAATGAAGGATAACCTTCAGAACATGCTAGAACATGGAGTGTGATTAGAGGAGCACATCTTACACCTGGTTTTCTTTTCAGACTCATGAAAACTCTAAAAGCTTCAGATCCAAAAAATATTAAGTGAAAATCAACACTCTACCTGTTGGATCAAAGTCTGGAAAGTAATCAGGGCAGTACTGGTAGGTGAGGACTCCGGCCGGAGTGTCGTCCCAGCACAGCCATCCGTCCCAGGTTCGGTTGCAGTATGGGCCTGGTGGTTAAGAAGGAAGTCAATGTCAGAGGGATGTGGCTTTCCCGGGAAGACTGACACCTTAGTGCGGCAGGACCCTCTGTTTCCCTCATGATTGCCCACATTTCAAAGTCATTTATTTTGGAAATCAAGTTTCAAATTGCCTTCAAAAACCTAAGACCAAATTATCTCACTGGGTAACATGCAGCAGTCAGGGCCTACTTCGGAAGATCCCAAACCTGAGCTTCTCAACAGTCAAGGGCCCCAAAGATTGCATTTTATTCTGTTCCCCTTTTCTCAGATGGTGAGGTACATTTGGGGTATAGGCTGGCTCTGAATTGGCAGCTCCAACCATTGAGGACATCTGGGAAGTGAATCAGTGCATGGAAGCTCCTTTCCTCCCTCCCTCTCCCCCTCCCTCACCACTCTCCTTCCCTCCGTGTGTGTGTGTGTGTGTGTGTGTGTGCGCGTGCGCACGCGTGTGTCTACCTCCTTCCCGAGCACAGTGCCCAGGTTCTAGCCTCTAAGCTGACTAACATCTAAGGCAAAAAGAATGAGCTCACTCGGTTTCTGAAAATGGCACTTTGAGTTCTCTTTGTTCACGATAACGTGATATTAGCAGAGAAGATTTGATGTAGTTCACAGATATGATTCTAATAACAACATTCCCTTTCTCCTTCTCTCCTACTTTGTGTTTTTCTTGTCTCATTTGCTTCACAGAAACCCTCTGGGTGTTGTGGAATTCAATGCTTTTTCAATTCTTGATAACCACTGGAACAATTGCAGACTGAAGAATAATGGGCAACTCTTTCCCTGGATGTGAGATTTAAGAAAAAATGCTAAAAATAGATGTCACCAATTTAGACTGTTTGATAAATATAAGAGTTACAGGAGTCCCAGAAGGTGCAGAAAAAGAAAGAATTGAGCAACAACATCCAGGAGGGACACTAAACTCCCAAATGGGTTGACCAGAAGTGATCTTCATCAAGACACATGATAATCAAGTTCTCTTCAATTGAACACAAGGAAAAGACTCAATAATAATAATAATAATAGAAATGAATCTGTAAAAAAAAAAAAGACTATTTGAAAGCAGACTACTTAACCATGTCCTCTCTGCTGAGTAGGGCTAGCTTTACATGTTTTAAACAACAGAGAGGAGACTGTAAATGGACGCTGCACTCCTTGGACATCATAGCTTTTCCTTGTTTTCCATTGGCTGGGTCCCTTCCAGTGAGTATAGTACACTTAATTCTGAAAATGCATGGTCAGTCACACTGAGCATTCTAGAGAAGGTCCCAGATAAATGAAGTCTAGGCAGGAGGCATCTCCCTCTAATTTTCCTGAAAGAGGGGAAGGAATAATCCGGGTTGCTGACTGACTGACAGTTGCGGAAAGGTATTTCCTAATGAACCCAAACACGAGTGGGTATCATGGTTTCACTTTGGGAATACTCACTGCCCATCATTTTCTGCTTTCTCCTTTCCTGAGTCCTCTCTTCCTCCTGCTTCCCAGGTACCAACACTGAGTTGTGCATTTTGTCCTGAGAGCAGATGTTGGGTGGAGGGAAGTTGGATGAGCCCGCCAATGGGAAACAGGCATTTCTGCTGCTTGATACACACATGTACATTGCATGAAAACCGCTGGCCTATTAAAGGTATTCAACATGTTTCTACCCATTGAAGAAGCCAGAGCTTTAATGATGCTTCACACACAACCCTTCTCTTTACCTTCTCCCTCGTAAGGGGGCAGCTGCTCCATCCGGTTATAGCATCTGAACTGGGCATCCAACAGCTTCTTGCGTCCTATGACATACAGAAATGGCTCGGGCTCCAGGGTGGACTCGGTGTCATTTTCGGAGGCAGGATTCACTGCCGTTGGTTGCTGTATTAAAATGGAAAAGTAGTTACTTGTAGGGAATAGGCATGGGTGTTTGCATCAGTGAAACACAATTAAAACACTGAAAATCCATGTAGAATACAGTTCACTTCATAACTACAGAATATTTACATTTCATCAACAAATACTTGTAAACTTAGTGTTTGCATTCACTATTAAAAATATATAACATCCACACATACTCACACAACTCTTCAGCATCTAAGAACTGCCTTAATTTTGTTATCCTTGCAAAGGTTAGAATAATCAAAGCAATCTAATTTGCAAAACAAACAAACAATACTACGTTCACTTTGGCTTGTTGGAATTTGAAAGAATCATGGGTCACATTAGACACCGACATCATGTAGAAAGTGTGCCTTGTGATTTTTTTCAGCTAAAATTTGTGCCTGAATTGCACATACTGCCAGAAAGAGCGCCTGTTTGTTCCCCGGGGGGCGCGGGAGGGGAAATGCTTTGAAGAATCAATTTTAATCTCTTTGGTTTCATGAGCACATGACCTATACAGGATAATTCATACTCACTGATGCCAACCAATGTAGCTTTTCAGTATTTGTACTGCCTCATGTGCACCTTCGGGACAGACATGAGCTCTCTCCATTTCAGCCATCCTCACCGTCACAGGTCTGCTTATGGAAGCAGGTGTGTGCGTGCACATGTATGTGTGTGCACATGTGTGTGTGCATGCAGGTCCCTGCCCCACACGCTGTCCTTTCCAACCTGTACTCATACCAGCTGATGACTTCTGAGCTGTGACTGATGCTCTTAGTGGTGCCCATCAATCAGTTTTTAAAATTCACATTGTACACAGCTGTTCTGGGGGAAAGCCTTGCCGTCTCGGCCTTCTCTAGCTTTTCTTTATCAGATGTCGGAATATGGCTTGCTCTTAAGCACACCTACGGAGATAACCTATGCATGGAAATCTACATGGTGGGAAAAAAATTATTCTTTGCATATAAAAAGGGAAAAAAGGCATAAGGTAGAAAATGTGGACTTAAAAAGCAACAAAGAGAACTAGAACTACATTTGTGAGTGCCATTTGCCATTTTCTTCTCTTATAAATGAACTCATTTAACAGGTGACCCGGAGGAGAAAGAATGGCAGATTAAATGGAACCTCAGCTACACACATGCGCAATCTGCTAGGAAGCCATCGGGGTTGGGGGACACTCGCGATCTAATAAACAGCAAAATTTTTAAACAAAACGCATTTTAAAATAATACTAAATTGGAGAATGAAAGCAGATGAGACAATCATTTATAGATTGATGCAGTTTAATACGGCTTTGCTTCTTTTTCTTTGTTGTTTGCATTCTAACAAATACACTTTTCTATATTTACTTATTTGCTTAAAATCAGAGCCCAAATATTTTTACTTGACTGATAGAATTAATGTTTACAATGCTAATACATTTGAAAGAAGTCAAATTATAAAACTGTAAGGTTTAGCACACCATCGGTTAAAGAAATCTTTTTTGGTTTGTCTGACTATTTGAATTGTTTTTAGTGGCTCTTTATGGGGTCAAAATATTAGCTCTTGATCTCTTCTACTATTTTTATAATAACTTCATAATATACAGTTAACTTTATAAAACTTTATAATAAAGTTGTAACAGAGCTATTTGCTCCATTATTTCCTCCTGATTGTCTTAAGCACCTTTCTCCACATTCATTTCAAAATGGCTATCCATACCTATGTGCGTTCTTTGGTTCTTTGATTTGCATGCTAACCCAACAGGTAGTAGTATAGAGTAATATTGTAAAATACTATAAGGTCTTTTGTAATAGAAACAGTCACTGTCAGTAGAAGGAAACATAATTGGAAGTAATCTTCAACTGTAATGCCAATATTGAAGGCAGTATAAAAAATACTCTTGAGTTGGGATCAGAGTTCTGGCTTGGCTCAGCCGCCTGCCAACTGATTTGGCCCAGTAGAAATAATTTAGCATTTTTGTAGCAGCATACACTAGTTAACAGTAATTGTTACATAATTGGAATCTCACTCAGGCTAAGATGGACAAAAGGGATGGCAAGTGGACAAGATTGTGAAGCCAGTGTGAGATACCCTTCATCCTCTTGGATGGTGGAGGTTTGAATGAGATGGCAGTAAAACTATGATTAAAGGAAGGCCTGTGCAAGTTATTTGCTACATTTAAATCCTAGATTTTCTACTTACCAAGGGCGCCAGATTGAATAAGTTAGTTGCTTATTCTCCCTAAGCCTTGGTTTTCTTTTCTATTCTGTACTTGAAATAAAAATCTTTACAGGATTGTTGCCAAAGAACAAATACAATACATAAACACCCACCCCTCCCCCCAAAAAAGAAAGAAAGAAATAACACCTAAATTTGGCCTGTAAATGATTCCAAGATTGAAGTTTTTCCATGTTGGTTTCTGGTAGGATTCATGTGCAGTCTCTAACACAAAAATAACCCCCACTGGGTCGGCCTGCCTACCCCAGGCCAGCGCTGGTGGAGCACACTGTCTCCCAGTGCATCACATCGTTGATGTTCTGTGTAACAGCACATCACTACTGCTAACTGACCAGCACAAAACCCAGTGAGGAGGGAGAGGACAGAGCAAACTGAGTTCGGGAGAGCTGCAGACACAGGCAGGCCCTGGCCTGGACCTGGGGGTAAGTCGTGTCTGAACGTGGACAGGAGAAGGCAGGCTTTCAGAAGGAAAGGACACAAATGCACACACATCTGGAGCCTTGGGCCAATGCGTGTGAGACCAGGAGGGAGCCACCTGGTGTAGCAACTAGGGGGAAGCAATGTGCTTAGTGAGAGTCAGATGGCAGAGGGACGTGAATGCTTATAAAAAGAAAAAAGCATTAAAACTCGTCCCTTGGAGCTGAGTAGAAACCAACTCTCCCCATTTGTTAAGCAAAAATAGCAATATTAGTATTTATCCTTTATGGATGTTATAAGAATTTTAAAAAAAATGAAGTGTCTGAAACATGAAGAGCTCAACAGCATTCAACTAATATTACAGGTGGTATTAAAATGAAGATGCTTTGCAGATTTTAAATTAGTGAAGAGAAGGCAAGTGTGCATAGGAAGAAGTGGGCAAGCTCCGATCAGGGAAGGCCAGCCACCAGCTGAGTAAGGATGACTTATCAAAGGTGCCATTGCTCACTACCTGTAGAAGACTTGTTCTAAGGGTTGCAACTTTATGAAGTATCTAGGGTATTTCTGATTTCCATGCCCTTTGAATATTATGACTAGAGAAAGAGAAATGAATGAATAAAAAAAATGGACATTGAATCCTTGGCTGGGATAGCTGAAGATAATTGTTGCCACTTGGGTTTTCCCCACTGGCCCTTGGATCCATCAGTCGGCCAATACTCCTTGTATGGGAGGATCCCAGAGGAGAACACAGCCCTGTCAGCCCTGTGATCACAAGGCTCACATACTAGCAAGACTGGCTAACTTCTTCCTCACTCAGGCCATTGTGAATAATAATGAATCAATGGCAGCCATGAAAGCCAGAGTTTCACTTATGAGCTGGAACATCACTTAAAGGAAAGACAGGTAGTCTCAAGAGGTCTCACGCTAAGGCCTCCTTTTGTATTTTGAGTGGACATTGGCATGGATATGTATGAGCCTGCTGTTTAAAATTTCAGCTGAATGTCACATGACCATCAAAGCTTGGAGCATTGCAAGGCTCTCCACAGTAGAGATAGCAATGGCTGGTTTAGTGCGAGCATCAAATTAGGTTGCTGTTTTTTAGCTGTATTCGTAGAACCTGTAGTTCATCTGAGAATTATCAATAAGTGATTAATTTCTTGACTTCTTTCGCATCATCTTCAAGTTACATGAGAATGGTGTACACAGTGTCACCTATAAACCTCATCTGCCAGTTGGATCATGTATTTTAGACAGCAGGGACTGTTTTGCTTAGGTTGGCTTTCTTTCCAGAATTACCATTCTGAATTTTGTCTGTATACAATCGATCAAAAACTGTTCCCGGAACTGCAAAGCAGCCATTGGGAAACAGTCTGCACAAGGAAAGCAGGTGAAAAACTCTATACGTGTTTTCATTCACAGGTTTATTTGGTCATTGCAGTCTTCACGCAAGAAACAGGGCAGGTAGAAACATCTGTGTAAGCGTAAACCTGGTTCGAACCGATGACAGTAGCTTCCATCTTGTCATTCTTGCAATATTGAAACAAACTCCAGTGAACTTGGTTTAAAGCCTGGTTCAATAGAGGTTGTTTCAACACTGAAGGAATGAGAAATCAAACTCTGGTGTTAGAAGAGCCACAGTAATCTGAGCCCACTTCCGGTCTCGATTGTGTCTCAGCACTGAAGATGGGATTTTCCTGGTGGTTCCTGAATGCCTCAGTGACTTCCTCCCTAAAATAACACACACACTGGAACACTCCTCCGAGAGACAGACATAAATACATACAATCCCAATTACAGAATTACTAGTGCTAAAAGTAACACATAAAATTTCATAGAATTCTTAAACATGTTACATATTTTGCTGACAATTTAACACACATCAAAATTGCTAGTTAGATAACAGTATTTTAATCAAAAAGAGATAAAGGAGCATTAGCAATTATATACAACTACCAAGCAATGTAAAAGACATACATATTCCACTGATCAAATAGAATACTACACATAGCAGTCCATGCTATGTGTTTAAGAAATTAAATAAATACATGATTCTGTGCTAAAAACAGAAATGAGACATTAGGGACCTACTGCTTGTCTGAATAAAACCATGCAGTTTCACATGCAACCCATCTTACATGCTTCTTCAACACACACACTTACTTGTTGTCCCTTGCAGCAGTTTAGCTGCCGTATATGTGATGTCACTCCTAAGGGTCCAAGTGAATGACACCACACATACGACCACCAAGCTGCCACCAGCAGTGGGAGACAGCAGCAGGAACATCACACAGGTCCTCTGCACACCAGACTTTGAGCGCCTTCCATACACCAGGAAAGTTCTGGAAATTCAACAGAGAGCAAGACTGACAAGGTCCCTGCCCCACAGAGCTTACAGTCTATGCTTCATCGCCATGAATCTTGAACTCCAGAAGAAAACAACAGGGTCGCACATCCCAGAGGCTTTGGGAATCCCTTAGGTTCGCATACCACAGGAAGTCTGCTTGGCATTACTAGTGGCTTCCAGAGGCACAAAGAACAGGCATAGAACGGTTCTTCTGGAACTTGGAGCAATGGCCTAACCCTTCAATGGGCCAAGCCCAGCGAGTGTGCAGGGCCGACCTGTGCCAACGCACCATCGGCAGAACTGCTCTGTAAGAATAGGAATCAAGAATCCACAAACGATGTCGCCAACGGGATTTCTATGTCACCGTCCTTAATGTTGGTCATTATAGTAAGAGAATTATTTGTGGTATTCATGTATTTACATGTTTCAAAACTACAGCAAGGATAAAGTACAGCTTTGTGAAAGACTAGCCCTGGGTGTCCCTGGACATGCAGCTGCCTGGTTGGTGGCCTGTGTGCTTGCCAGGAAAAACAGCAAATTGCACCTCAGAAAAACCAAGGTTTGGGTTTTGTTTGTTTGTCTTTGTCATTCTGTTGTCTTCATCACTAGCAGTTTTGGTGCTGCCAAAACTTCCATCAGCACTCTAAGTCTGCTGTAATATCTCAAAGAAGGGCAGGAGGTGAGTGAGTAATTGTGGAAAATGGAGAAGCAGCTAACGAACGGTGACAGCTGAAGCTGACATATGATAGGCCATAGAGATATCAAATTAATAGGATTTAATGAATATACTGGTAGTGGTTATTCATAATAACGTGTTATCTAACAATAATATTTAAAATTAATTATGGGAGGAAAGGTGACAGCTGAAACTGACATATGATAGGCCATAGAGATATCAAGTTAATAGGATTTAATGAATACATGGGTAGTGGTTCTTTATGACAATGTGTTATCTAAAATAATATTTAAAATTAATTATGGGAGAAGTGTCATGTTTAAAATTTACTTTTGGGGGGATGAATATCAATGTAGAACATAATCAAATGTTTTGAAGGAAATTTGTGCATTGAATTTTGGCTTCTGAACAAGTTCTTTAAGTTGAGTATGCTACTCAAAGAAACAAAATTCTCTCTGTTATGACAAAGGCCGCACATAGCCGCTTAATGTGCCATGTTTAGTTACCTGTACTGCTATAAGCTGCCCACAAGCCAAAGCAAACGAAACAAAAAAACAAACAAACAAAAAATGCTGTTCATGGCTCATGCAAATCTGACGTTTTTCAGTTTTTAAATTATGACTCTAAATGTGTATTCTACTCTTCACACTAAAAGTTACTGGATAATTCTGTTTTGTTTAGCAGTTTCTTTTTCTTCTATCATGTCCCATATAAGTATTTGCTTTATTAAATAAAATTATTTGGGAACATTTCTATATGCTCAGAATGTACCTGAATTATGAGAAATAACAATATAAATTTACAAATACTGTGTATCTGTATTTTTGCATCTACAGAATACAAGGCCTGGGCATTTATGGAGAAATTAAAATATTCTATCAGTTTACATAATTATCTTGTGTAAGTATCTATTATATTTCAAATGTTATGCAGTGACCACAGTTCCAAACACTGGATTAGTTTTAGAAAATTATACTTTAATTTATCTAAAGAAAAATATGATGATATTCTCGGAGAGTAAAATGAAGGTAGGCCTTTATCTAAATGGGTGTAAAAGGGTTGCATTAACAACTATTTCAATAAACCACTTACTTGGTTACACATTACAAAAGAAGAATTCCTGGGTCTGGTACAGCAGGCCTAATGGCTACAGTCCTCGCCTTGCATGCACTGGGAACTCATACGGGCGCCGGTTCATATCCTGGCTGCCCCACTTCCCATCCAGCTCCCTGCTTGTGGCTGGGAAAGCAGTAAGAGGACGGCTCAAAGTCTTGGGACCCTGCACCTGTGTGGGATACCTGGAAGACTCTGGCTCCTGGCTTCAGATCTGCTCAGCTCTAGCCATTGCAGCCATTTGGGGAGTGAGCCAGTGGATGGAAGATCTTTCTGTCTCTCCTTCTCTCTCTACATCTGCCTTTCCAATAAAAATAAAATTTTTTAAATAAAAATTCTCTTACAAATCAAATTACTATTTATAGAAAGTAGTTAGTGATTTTTTTTTTGAATAATGTAAAGGAGAAACAGGTTAGTTGGACTAAAACAAAACATAAATGAATAATGGGAAACCTAGCATCCTCTGAAAACTTTGCTTGGGTCAGTTTCACAATAAAAGACATTGAGTGATTTTTACAGCCAGCTGTAATTCATTAGTAAATGCTACGTTGATGGGTCAAAAGGATGCAGATCAAGAAAGTGACAAACTGATTTACGCAAAATTCACTCCTCTGATTCCTGTTAGTGAATTTGATGTGAGGATGGCAGGTTAATAATGTTGACATAAATAAGTATCAATAGTTTTTTTCTTCAATAGTAACACTTTAAACCAGTTAAGCATCCTCTTGAAATTAAACAATGTAAAAGCACATACGTTAAGCACTATTCTAAAGACCGGAGAAAGGGTCGTGAAATGATAGTGGAATATAAAGACGGAGACATCTTTATTACTGAAATCAGAAATAAGACTGACTGAACACAGATATTTTAAGGGACTGAAAGGTCCAGAAACTATGGTTCAAATATACATGCCAAATACAAAAACAAACAAACATAAAAACCCTACATTTAATCCAAGGCTATCATTAATCACCTATGGTAACTTCCAAGTCAATGTGGGGTTGTCTTAAACAAATGCTCAATTTCTGTTACCAAAAAAAAAAAAAAAATCAGATTTCTGCGTAAAGCTTCACAACTTACCTAAAATGGTAAAAGTGCAGAGATTTGTTAATAAAAGAGAAAGGAAAATGCCTGACAAAACTGAAGTTTTGACTTTCGAGAGCACAGAGCCTACCCTGCCAACGCCTACCCCTGCCAACGCCTACCAGCCACACTCCAAACACTCTCCCCCACTCAGCGTGCTCAATGACCGTGACCTGAGACAATGTCGTCTTACTTACACTCAGAAGCAGGAACAGCGCAAAGCACCGACAGGTAAGAGTGAACCTCATTTTTGGTTTCTGAGGCTCTCTCTTTGTCCTAGAAAAACAAAAAAAAAAGTAACAAAGACTGAAATTAATATAGCTTGAATCTCAGCTGTGGTTTCTTCCCCGTTTCTTTGTATGTGGCTTAAACAAGACCCCCAGGCATCTTAGGAGATGCACTCACGGATTCTGTCCTTGGAATGCGGACACAGCAGCAGGTTTCACTGTCCTCCTAGCAATAAGACCGTTTTGTTCATTCTACCCCCTTTAAGAAATTCCAGAGCTACCGCTGCTCATCAGGAGGGAAATGTAGGAGATGGGAGACATAAAGAGTAAGTCATGCTGACTTCAGTAAGTATGGGTTAGCCACAGAACTGTTGACACTGACTATGGATGCATCCACACTAAACACCTTGCTGAACACGAACAAGTTCAATATGTGAGTTGTGAAGGATTAGTAGTTGAGCCGCATGTATAATCCATTGTAGGCATTTAGCCTCGTGGTTAAGATGTCAGTTAAGATGTGTGCGGCTCATGTTGGAGTGACCAGCTTTGGTCCCCGGCTCCAGCTCCTGCTAACCTAGACACTGGAAGGTCGCAGTGATGGCTCAAACAATCGAGTCCCTGCTACCCACATGGAAGACCTGGACTGAGTTCCTTGGTATGGGAGCAATAAACAGCATGAGGTGAACAGGCCAAGAACAGGAAAAAGAAGAGGTGGTCATTGCTTACCGAGGGACAGTGATGGGAATTGTCACCCAAGGCTTAGAGCAAGTTACAAAATCAAACGCTGGTATTTCTATGACAGCTCTATTGAAGGTGCTATGGTAGATGTACTCTGCATGAGCAGAAGTCAGTGTTGGTGGAACCACCACGGGGCTGGCTTGCGGCCTTGGCCAGGTTGGATTTGGACAACTTCTTAACTATAGAACCTATTTGAAAATCTTTCTTCATCATGACAGAAACTAACTTGTCAAGGCATAATGTGCAGGCCAAATGGAACAAGTTCATGGCTCCCATCACGAATTTACACCATCCTTCTGAATGCAAACTCCAGGTTTAGTTGAAATATTCTAGCATGCCTCAGTATTGGAGAACTGCTTGGAGTTAACAACAAGGCACACATGTATGAAGAATAATTCAGATGATAGACGAATAGGATAAAAATGATACCTTCTGTGAGAAACAAGACTTTCTATATAACATACATCAACGACCTGATTTGGCAATGGAGTTTTTCACTAGCCGTGTTACCTTAGTTGCGCATACAAACCTGATCACTCCCCCCTTGCATTATGTGTAAACATTAAACAGTTACTATATTCACCTTTTCAAAAATGCTAGGTCATTCTGTATATATTCTTTGATTTTTGTCCAAGAAAATCATGTAGATTCTTCTTATAAACTCACTTTACAGATGAGCAGATCAAAACTCCAGGAGGTTAGGTCTAGGGTTACAGTTATTTGATTGGACAAGTCAGCGTCCTCACTGCTCCATAGGGCCCACCTACCACCTCAGAGTTGTTTGTCCAACTACTAACCCACACCAGAGGCCACGGCCCATGCCCTAGTGATAACCTGAATCACAGAGTCCAAGCTCATCCCCACCAAGAAAGGAAGATGGAACAGCCACACCCTTCATATCCTCTAAGGTCCCTAAGGCCAGCTCTGGTCTCCAATCACTCTTGATTTTTGCTAGAGCAATTCATCAATTCAACAATGATAATTTTCAATGTTATTTTTGAGCACAAAGATGGTCTTTCTGTTACCTCTACCTAAAAGAGGACGAAAAGCCAAGAACGCAGACATTATTGGTGGGAGTATTACAGCATGAACATATTTTTTTCTAGTTATTAAGAAGCCAGGGACAGACAGTACACTGTAAAGAACCAGACTAACCCTGGTTGAGACAGTATCAATTATTTCACAAAATTTGAAAAAGTTACAGATCTCATTTCCTTGGCTCTTTTTAATATTTCTACTCTGGAAATCTATTTCTTTGAGTGCTTTTAAACATAATTATTATTGAGAAATAAAAAGGATTTAAAAAAAACATATGATTAAGCAATGATAAATGATGGCTTGATGGAGGCTTTGGGAGCATAATCAACCCTTCCTTTTATTTTAGGTTTCATAGTTAATGTGTCACAGTTAATGTAAGGCCCAGAAGAGAACCTCACACGTAGTAAGCACTCAATGAATTTCCGAGTGAAATAGACACATTAGCCTTAAGCAGTTGTCTGGGCTTAAGAAGATCTTAGATAAATGGTTCAGAATCACGGGCAGTTCAGAAGTGTGCCATTAGTCAAATTGGTAATATTAATAGATAACTAGCTGAAATTTCATTAATTAAAACTAATTTGCGGAAGGGCACTGTAGCCCTGTGCGTTCTCGCTGCTGCTGGCTCCCTAACGGCAGCTTTGAGAGAGAAAGGGGAAACAAGGGCCACTCGGTTTCAATCAGTTTATTAAAAACACAGCATGCATTCATTGTAAATGTTTCAGCATCACCTCAAAAACAAAGCTGGCCTTGTCATGTGAGATATTGGGGTGCAGGGAGATCACCAGCCTACAGGGTTGTCATGAGGAAAGAGGCAGAAAGAGGCAGATGTGGCATTGCTTGAAAACTCCCAGTGGGCAGATGCTAAAGCCAAGGCTCTCGGTGACCACATACACGCTGTCCAGTAACAAGAAAGCCATGTTTTGGATAAATGGAATTTGAACTTCTAGGTCTTTTGCTTGGAAAACTTACAACACTACAATCCTCTATATAGATCTTTGTGTTTAGCATGTCTTGATGAGACATGTTCGCAGTCCACTACGGCAAATGTGGGAAGAGGAATCAGACGGTAAAGGGGGAGGGAAGCAAAACAGAAGGTGAGGAATAAAGGACCCAAATCCAAATCCAGAATGATCTCGTCATGTGACTCTTGAACACGTCATCGGACTCTGTCAGCACCCATTGCACAGTTATGAAATTAGACAACTGAGTCATAACTTTTCATTCCATATGACTCTACTTTGATCAATAAAATATAAAAAAATGGATACTATAGCAGTTTGTACTACAGAATTTATCTGATCTCCTAGTAGAAAATAAGTGAAGACATTTTCTATACTGCGTACTCAAAAACATGATCCTTGCTCCAATAAAGAACAGAAAAAAGAGAGAGAGAGAATTCTTTGCATAAAAATGGAGACCCATGCACATCATGTGATCTCTTCTGGAAATTTCGACATAGCTGTGGATACTGATGGTTTTGCAGCAATGGATCCTTCTAATGAATTGTTGTTTCTAATGTTGTTTCTAATTATTTTTATTAATATGGGTGTATAATCAACACTAAGGACTGAACAGGCAAGCTTGGTCATCGCTGAGTCACACTGATTTCTGGGTATTAAAGCTTATGTTGTTCTACTGATGATCAGAGTAGACTGTGATAAAATATGCATGTTGTGCACTTACTTTTTTTATTACCCTGGAACAGAACTGAAGGACGCTGTCATACTTGTTTGGCTCCTTGCAACTCTGAAGAAGATATGACTGGTTTAAATAAGAGTGCTGCCTCCCCTAATGAGATGTGTGGAGATCATTCCCTTCGGCCAAGGATGCTGTCTGAGTAGTATGGTGACAGAAACAAGTACCGACATGCTTAAGCCAAATTTTAAAATATTTATGAAGTATTCCATTGTGCACAGACACGAAAGTATGCTGCAACTGCCAAGAGGAATTTCCAGCGGTGGGAGTAAGATAAAGTCTTACCACAGCAAACTGTGTCCTTGCACAGACATGAATGATGAGAAAATCTCTCAGGATAGCTGATTCTGTCAGATGATCAAAACTAGGAGGGATCATAAAACTTAAATGTCCCAACTTCTCACATGTAGAACTGGGGAGCCCCCCCCCGAAATGACCGCTCTCATTTCAGTTAGGAAGTTAATGGAGGAGATCTGGTCCATCTCTATGAGAGGTTCAAACCAACTGCCTTTCCCCCACCAAGGGCTTTTCCGAGTTGGCTTCAATGTTCTGCAACAAAGCCCTGAAAGTTTGGTCTAAATGAGACAGAAGTCACTGTGAGCACACCTGGCCCTCTTCCCCTCAATCACCTTTAAGAATTCAGTTTAGCTCTGATTCCAAGCACACCTTAGCAGAGAAGGCCCTTAGACCTGAACAAAACTTGGGTTACGTAAAGGGTTGCTGTAGGATGCTAACATTTAATGATTATCACTGCTGAAACCTCCACCAGGTCCACAGTGGCTGTCCTGGCTTGCTTTCGTTTACCCACCCTAAACCTTGTTCTCTACTGGTGTCTGCAGGTGCCAAGGAGCCACCGAGGGAGGCAGGGATCACTCACTGCGTTTGCATATTCACATCTCACATATCTGCTGAGTCAGACGCAGCGCTTACACTTAGGGAATCTGTGCACTGCAGCAAAGGCACAAGTGGGGCCACCCTTGTCACCTCAACATACACACCTCCTGATCCTCCCAGCATATGTGGGATTCCACACAAGGCTATTTCCCTGAGACTCTTAGACGGGACTAACTTGTTCCTACATGTGCAATACAAGACGCATATAGCTATAAACAGAGAAAAAGCCCCATCAAGTGTGACATCAATTGAACTCGGCTGTTCTTCCTACTCAATGACCCATTTTCCCCGAAATCTGAAAAACTTGGCTATGAGTCTTTCTGCTGAGCTTGCAAGCAATTCGAAAGGTTCTGCAAAATTAGCTGGATTCCCCCGAAAAACAGGCCAACTAAGCGGGATCAGTGACATCATGGCCAGCCAGCAGGGCTGGCGCTGAAAACAGCTGTGATGCAAATCCAATTCACCAGAGCGCAGGTGTCCCACCATCACGCACAGAGAACATTCCAGCCCCTCACCTGACGGGACCTACAACAATAGTGCCGAACTCAGTTTCACTGTCAGTTCAATTCTTCACATGAAATGAGAATCCTGTCTTATTGATAAGGAACTTGCCCCATGATTTACCTCGACAGCTCACTTTAAAAAAAAGTTTTGAAGGGCCCGGCGCGGTGGCG